TTCTTTGAATATGTTAAATTTTCATGTTATTTGATTCTAAATACAATCTCTAAAATGAAAGTTAATTTATAACGGGTGAAATAAGTATATAAATCATATATTGAATTGTTAAATATCATAAATATAAAATGAAAAATAAAAATTAATATTAGTAACTAAAACTATGTTTATATTAATCAATATTTTTTCATTGGTTTAATTTATACAATTTATCATTATCATCTGATGCATCTTATGAACTACATACTAGTTAAAAAGTTGTAATAAAAACAAATAAGAAGTGATATACATAAGGTGTTTATTGGAATGAAAGTAAAATAGACTCCTGAAAATAGAGATCATTGATAAGAGTAGACTGTAGAGCGGCGTTGAAGTAAAAGTTGAAATCGAGAGCTAAAAATCATAGGGTGCTATATATTAAGGGAGTGTGATAGAAAAATTGTTAAGAGTTAGTCCAAGTGTTAAAAAAATTAAAAGAGGCAAGGTGGCCAAAGAAGAGGAAAAATTACTCTTAACTTGTATTTCTATTTTTATATTTGTATGAATCTTTGCCCAACTTTTTATTTTGTGTTCTGCATGGCACAGTACAAAAAATTCTAACTATCTGGATGATATTTTTTTTTTTTTTGAGCTTTTACTGCTTGATTTTATGAATCCTGAAAATATAAAATACCCGGCGCGTACAACATGTACGCCAAAAGTTAGTGCATTTAAGGCATATTGAACCATGTTTAGACATTCTCTCGATGTTTATAATTTGTTCAAAGAACATTGAAACCTACATGTTATATTTTGTTTATCTGAATCAAATGTCAAAAGATGTATATTATTACTATTATTTTTTTCAGCTTGATTTTATGAATCCTGGATTTGTTGCACCTTGTGCATTTAAGGCATATCGATCCATGTTTAGACATTCTCTCAATGTTTATAATTTGTTGAAAGAACATTGAAACCTACATGTTATATTTTGTTTATCTGAATCAAATGTCAAAAAATGTACATTATTACTGTTATTTCTTTTCAGCTTGATTTTATGAATCATAGATTTGTTGCACCTTAATGC